GAGGGAGGGTGGGTGGGTGAGAAGAGATCAACCAAAGAACTTGTATGCATATAGGCATAACCCATGGACACAGCCAATAGGGGGCTGGAGGCCTGGGGTGGGGGACAGGGCCGGGCTATAAGGGGTCAATGGGAAAGAAAAGGGGACATATGTAAAACTTTCAACAATAAAGATTTTAAAACAAGAAATAAGACTCTCAGAAAGGCTCTTCTCACTTCTCCCATTGTCTGGGACTGCCACACCTTTAGTGTTTCCTGAAGAGTAATTTTTGGACCACACGTGTCAGTCACCTGGGGGTGCGGGTTAGCGGGAGGTTTCTGAGCTCACCTCCAGTCTCTCCCCTGTCCCCGCCCATCCTCTGGGGAAGGGTCCGGACAACCAGCATTCTAACGAGTTCCTAGACGATTCTGTCTACACTGACATTGGGAGCTGATGTTCTCTAGTTCCCATATGCCTTTACCTTCCTGCATGTCCGAGCAGTTGTACAGCGGGAAAGGGGTGCCAGGTTACTGATAGTAATCTTTTTCTTTTTTTTCCTGATATCAATCTTTTAAGAGCATTCGATGAGGACTGGGAGAGAATCGGAGGGACCAAACCTATTCACAGCTCCTCAGAGAAAAGTGGGTGTGAGGCTGGGAGACTAACTTGGCTGTTATCAATAGAGATATGAAAAGCACAGGGCTCATTTCTGAACGGTGCAGCCTGTGCTGTTTACGAGCTTGAGGCTCACATTTGGGGTTCTTAGATCTAAGAGCTAAGTGACCGCTGATCTGAACGGCCTCATATGTGGTTTGCAGATCACGTTCGATAAACCCCCAGTTACAATAAGCAGGGATGTTCCAGTTGCATCCTAAGGCCGCATCCTTGCTTTGTTTCTCTCTCTCCTTTACAGAAGGCACGTGCTACCGTGGAGATGCTCAGCTGGGTTGCAAGCATAGTCCTGATCATTTCTCAGCCAAATTGCTTTTCTGGCCCAGAGCTTTTGTTCTAAAAGCACGGCGTCTATTTTTAATGCCTCTTTGGCCTGTCCTCTGTCCCCGCTCACCCCATCCCTGTCCCCGTTCTTAATGGCATGTAAACATATTCCTACTAAATGTCTGGATGGTGTCAGAGAGCTGGGACCTTCTGAGAAATGAGGCTCTACGGGATCTAATCAAGCCTGGGCCAGCTGCGATACGGATGAGTTCAGCCAATGTCTGTAAACACCCACTTGCCCGTCCTCAGCTTCTCTAGCTCTGACCCTGTGCCCCATTCACAATGCAGGAACAAATCTAGTTTGGGGAGTTGTGTCAAAACCACAATCCTGGCAACCCTGTTCTATACTGAGAATAAAACCAACAACCCAGTAAGACAAGGGAATGAGTAACAATTTTGTATCCCTTGTTGTCAGTGCAGAGAAAGGGCTGGAAACCAGAAGTAGTCCTGTGGCACCTGGTGGGAGGCTAACGGAGCTGGGGTTGTCTGTTAGTCGCAGATCCCTTGCCCCGAACTCACTCCTGACTAGTGTAGGATTCCTGCCCTGGGAAGCCATTACCCTGGACACCTTGAGGGTGAGCGTGGGAAGAGCTGCTGCCCGACGGGGCGGACTTGACCTCTAAGACCCAGACCTCAGCTCCCCATACCTTCGTCAGTGGTTACAAAAGAGCATCCCAAGGTGTCCCCAGGGCTCCGAGGAAGGCCAGGGGCCGAGGGGGCGCAGCGTGGCCGCCTAGGACTCACGAGTCCGGCGCCCCCTCTGGTACTCCTCCAGCTCCGCTTTCCTGCTCACTGCCAGCTGCAGCTCCTGCCGGATCACCTGGATCTGCTTCTCCAGCTCCACCAGCTCCTGCATCACCGAGGTCCGCGCTCCCTGCAGGGAGTCCGCCTTCCCGTTGGTGGTCAGCGAGGCGGGGAGCTCTCTCCTCCGGGGAGGGAGAGGGATGTCCTGGGGGGCCCCCAGGCCCGGCTGGTTTCGTCCTCCCTCCTCACTGAAGATGTATTTTCGAGGGATGTCGTGACTCTGATGGGAAGTGTTCCACACGGAGAGCTGACGGGGTCCCACGTTGGACCTAGGAAACAAAGAGGCGCTGTAGGTGTAGGCTGACCTGCCACGCCCGCCCGTGCTCCCCATCTGCCAGCCGTTTCCTGTGTGGATGCTGTAGGGCTGGGTCACACTCGGAGATGCAGGAACGAAGCAGTCCACAGCCTGCCTGCCAGCTAGCACCACGGGGATGAAAGGAGCCAACACAGCGGAAGGCCGAGGTCTTATCAAGTCTTCTGCTGCCCCGAAACTGGAATGGGTGTATGCACTGGAGGGCTGACGGGCCAGGGTGTGGCACATTCTCACACAAGGAACCTTAGATGCCTTTTTATTTCCTTCCTGCCCGTTGGGCTCGGAGATCAGCACTGCCTTGAAGGGGTCTGTGGCTAGAAAGACGGCGCTTTAGTAAGAGTAGGAATCAGTTTCTTCAGCTGTGGGACTCTGAGCATGCGCCTCAGGGTAGTTACTATAGTGTGACTTACCTGTCGTCCCGCAGGACCACCTGATGTTTACTGCTTGAGTCTGAGATAAAAGCATACACGTTGCAGGTTTCAGCAAAAACATTTCTCATTACAGGGATGACTTTATGTGTGTTGGGACTGACAACAACAGCAGTAGCAGCAGCAAAACACAAGAGAGCCTCAAGTTCTGGCCTGGATAATGAAAGTCAAGTAGAAATAGACTCACAACGCTCTATCAGGCTTGTGTCGAACCAGCCACCGCCATCTCAGAGAGATGGCTGCAGACAGCCAGCGAGTCACTGCTGGTCAGGCACGGGAGGAGGAGGATCTGGTTTCTGAAATACGCTTTGACAGTGGATGCAATGAGAAGAGTTTCTTGCTATAAGAATAGATTAGAACCCAAGCAGCAAAGCTGCTGATTTCTTCCAGCCTTGTTGGAGGAGGAGGAGGAGGGGAGGGAGGAAAAGGAGGGGGAGGAGAAGGCAGGAGGAGAAGGAGAAAAAGGAGAAAGAAGTGGAGGAGGAGGGGGTGGGAGAGGAGGAGGGAGAGGAGAGGGAGGAGGAGGCAAACAAGGAGGAGAAGAAGGAGGAAGAGGAGGGGAAGGATAAGGAAGGAGGAGGAGAAGAAGGAGAAGTAGGAAGAGGAGGAGGAGGGGGAAGTGGAGGAGGGGAGGGAAGAAAAGGAGGGTGAGGAGAAGGCAGGAGGAGAAGGAGAAAAAGAAGAAGGAAGAGGAGGAGGATGGGGTGGGGGAGGAGGAGGGGAGGGAGGAAAAGGAGGAGGAAGACAAGGAGGAGAAGGAGAAGGAGGAAGAGGAGCGGGAGGAGAAGGAAGGAAGAGAAGGAGAAGAGTGCTCGCTTCGGCAGCACATATACTAAAATTGGAACGATACAGAGAGAAGGAGAAGAAGAAAGTGGAGGAGGAGGAGGAGGAGGTAGAGGGG